CCTGAAATAAGATTTTTCGTTGTGCATACTTTTCCATGCACTTCAGAATAAAATTCCTGTTATTTAATGACTTTCCCTCGTAGAACTGCTTTTGAGATATGGGTTGGTGTTCCCTGCTGGACGGAATTGTCTCATGGCAATATATTTATTAATAATGAACTTACGATTAGAAAGTGTTCGGGGTATCATGGCCCAAATATTCTTATCCTAAAGTTTTTCCTGAAAGTTTACAGGTTCGAGGAACAGCGATCACCTGTCCTAGAGGCACTAAGGCACCACCAAGGCACTCGATGACGCACAAAAGAAAACGAGAGAACGCGCCGCACCCCACCGCAGACCGGCTTCCAACCGTTTGCCATCCTCTCGAGCCGAGACAGAGGGAGCAACGGAAGATACGTCATATCGGGCATGGAGAGGAAGTCCTCCGCGACTGGCGACTACCTGTTGCGTCGGGACAGACTCGTCGGTCGCTTGAATGTCGGCCATGTTCCCATGCGAGAATGTTGCCGGTGAGGCGACGATGATTCAACAGTGACTGCTGTTGAACTCCTGGTGAATGAATGTTGAAAACCGGTCATTCGATGATAAGTCACTGTTTGATTTTTTGGTTTTAATTTCAACATGTTGAACTTTTTTGCAAGGACAAGAAATCTGAAAGTGGCCGAGTATAGGAAAACCTAAGGCAACATTTGCTGCAGGGAAGACCTCTTGAAAATCAGGAGATAAGAGCTATCAAAATCTATCCCGCGGCTTCTGAGCAATCCACGGATCCTAGATCACTACCGGAAAATCCGGTAGTGATTCATTATGCAAATAGCACTTCAAGTCGCGCCCACAAACACGATTCATCTGCAACTGTGGGACATGAGAGGACCTCATTCTCACATCTCAGGATCACATTCAAATCTGCCCAATTGGCTGCGTGGAATCCAGACATGTTCTGTCCCAACCGGACTGTCAGTAATCGCTCAACTCGCTGATATTCGTCGAAATTCGGTTCGATTCACCGACTTTCAATTATTGTTAAATTCGAATGCTCAATTCCCCGAATTCTACCCTACCGATTTGAACTTGCCAAATACACGACTCTGATTTAATGGAAGATTGCAAATGGTTTTCGCTGGTTATACGGATGTTCAATCTATAAAATGCTTGACACAGAATTGCACGTAATTTTGATCATGCATTTTCGATAAATAGACAAAAAAAATTTTATCTTGTATAAAAATTGGTGGAAAATTAAGTCAGAACGTTCTCAATTGCTCTTATACTTTAGGAATACCAAGTACTTGAACACTGAGATTATCCAATGCCTCCTGCTAGGGTTCTAGGAAAAGCCTATCTGTCTTATCTCTACTTCGAAAGCGTGTGGAATGCGCCATGGTACGAGGAAACCTTTTCCCGGACCCCAAGCACCCAGCCTCGCAAAATCGAGGAGATTCGGTCTGGGCTCCGTCGATGAAGATGTTTGGAAGCCTCAAATTAAGTCCGGGAAGAAGGCCCGTACCTTTGGTACCAGAGATGGACAACATGGGCAAGCCTAGTTCAGTAGTGGGCCTCCTTTCATTTTAAGGAGAGCCTCATTTTGTCACCTACCTGAACAAAATGACGTCTCTTTCCGGTCCTTGACCGTCAAAAATCTCATTTCTCAGTTTGATTTGGCAAATCGACCCATGGTGCTCATGAAATGATGATAAGAGGATGAAGGGTTGTGCGCGGTTCGATCCATCCGCCAGGAAGGCTAGTAGAGAACTGACAGCACTCGGGACACGGCGCCGCGCCGAAGGCCTGGGTCTTACGCGCATGCGCATTGTGGTCCAGATTCTTAAGTGCCAGCGGGAGCTGACCCGCAAGAATCCGGGGAGGGAAGGCATGAGGGCTGCGGGCCCTCATGCCTTCCCTCCCCTGAACAAATTTCAAATCCAAAATTCGTGATAAAAATAGCAATCTTGGGGTTAATTCGCCACAAAATAAAGTAGGTTTGTGTCTTTTTCATGTCAACTTGGTTGTCAATTTTCTCATTGGTCAAGTCAATATATTCTTAGTCATCGTCGGACAACCAAAGTGTGACACACGGACACATACGAACAGGATGGGACCACAAGCGGTTTCTTTCCTTTCAGGAAAGGAGGTCCTCTTAAAAGGCCCTGTAATGTCGATGCCATCTGAGTTATTAGAATGTGCATCCGCTCCGTTATCCAAGGAGAAGAGAAAGAAGCCTGCACTGGCGATTGCTAGAAAAAAAAAATTAGGGCTGCTAAATTGGCACCGACATACTGCCAACGTTGGCAACCTTCAACCAACAGGTGAAAGTGGTTGAACCAATGTGAATTCGAGAAAAATTGTCAAAGATTCCTCGTTTCACCTGGGAAAATGCGGCGAAGAAGCCCTTTCAATATAGGGAAAAAGATTAAAGAGGTTTTTTCAAATAAATTATGCACAATTTTAGCTGGCCCCAATTAGAGATTACTGGTGAACCTTTCCGGCTGGACAATGGCTTTATATTCAGATGAATTTCAGCTGGGAAAATATTGTGATATGGTAAATCCGTGTTGAAAATTAGCATGGAGGTAGATATGGACATATTGCAGATTAAAGTCATTTTAAAAGCCAAAGTCGAACCAAAATCATAATTTTTATCGAAAAATTTAAATTTAAAATTTCCTTAAAGCAGGAAAGCCGAGAGCAACGATCAGAAAATAGTTGTCCGTCAGAGAACCGGTCCAGTTGGATCGTTGGAGACCGAATGGACGGAAAATTTCAAATATGGACTCGGAGAAGTTGATCGTGGAAGTACGGAGGCATGCACTTTTGCATGGAATCGGATCAAATGGGTACATAGGGACTTGGTGATGAATCGGTATGAAAATATCGGGAAAGGGTTTCGATTTTTGGGTGAGTCCAGGTCATTCCCTCGCAGAACGGAATTCCAGCCGTTTGGTCCAACCGTGCTAAAATTAACGGGTATCTCAGAAATAATGGCACTCTCAGTATTCATTGAATATCTCTGCCATTTCGATTTCTCTGTCATTCTTGCTTTTTCAAATATCTCCGGACGATTCCCTGCAAGTCCATGTAATTTTATTTTCGTTTGCCACCACCGTCATTCCCTACAACAGCTCGCAAACGAAGCGTCCAAGACGGAAAAAAAATCACCGCACAACTTCCTTCGGAATTCGCATTATTTCCGGTACTCGGTACTATAATTTCGGTACTCGAATTGTAGTCCCTTTGCTGCTCACGCGATCCCACTCGACGGCCGGCACGGGCTCATTCCAAATGGTGGGCCAATGGTGTTTCTTGAGAAAGGCAGGGAAATCGTCTTCTCACCACTCTTGGGTCAAATGGTGACGGTGATAAGTGCTGCTGGAAGATCCAATCGCCTCCGAGCACTTTTCTTCCCGCATTTGAGAATCACAGGAAGTACTTCTGGCGTGACCTTTCTCGACGCTGCTCTCGTCGGGAATGACCGGAGGAGGCAGCTACGCTCCCGACCGGACCAACGCCCTCTCGTGGAGACTTTCCGCTTCTTGCCTGCCGTTTGATCGACTCGAGGCCGCTGGACTCACTTGCATACGGAGCGAGCTCGTGCCGGCCTTCAAGTGGGATCGTGTGAGCGGGAAAGGGACTCTTCGCGGATTGGAAGTGGCTGGGAGGCGAATTTCGAAGGGAGTCGTGTGAGATGCTTGTCTGTCTTTGACGTCTCGGTTGCGAGATGTCGTGGGGAATGACGGTGGTAGCGTGCGAAAATAGAATGAAATGGGCTGGAGAGGATTGTACAGAGAATCTAAGATTAAATAACCAAGACTGAGGGGCTTGAAATGACAGAGACATTTAATGAATACCGAGAGTGCATTTATATCTGAGACACCCGTAACAGTATATGTATATATGATACTTTGCCTTATTTGGAAATGTATTATTTTTTGCGGGTAATTGGCTTGGAATGATATGGGCTTCGTTTTCATATAATTTCCCTCCAGTACATTGATGTTGAATATCTCCGGCTAGAAGCGCGACCGCTCAGTATAAATTGCCTTCGTATGGCGAAAGCGACAGCGGAAAACAGAAATTTCCATTCTCAAGTTAGACGAAATTCCGCTTTCCGCGCCGTTTTCCGCCCAGTATAATATTCACCTTTAGTCTCCTTCCAGCCGTTGTGACTGACGGATCCATTCCTCACAAACGAAGAGAGAGGGGCAGTGGTTGGCGGTCCGCTATCGGATTGGGCTTGCTCAGGTTTTACTGAGGCTGTTTCTCAATCATTTTCACACGCTCTAAGAGTCTTTGCGTACGTGTGGAGCCAACTTGCATTTTCATTTGCTAAGACATCGAGTCCAACGCCAGCAGAAAGGAGCGGTTGATGCAGGGGAGGGTAAGAACGGGATACAAATTTTCTCTTTTGGCTCCATATGGAAAAAACTTGCATCCCTGATTGCATCAGAGCAAGATTGGATCTGAGAAGGGCTGAAACGTTACCTTTTTTAAGGAAAAAATATATATATTGATGCATCGTCTGCTTGCAGTGGTTTCAGATTCAGAATTTCTTAAGATTTTTCATCTGTGGCAAAGTTACAATAGCATGTGAAACCAGCTTTGTATAACTTCCCACTCTCCACTGGAATGGGGCAAGAAACCACGTTATGATTAGCCTCCTCCCCGGAGAAGTAAGGGAAATTCTTGCCCCCTTAGCCTCCCATTGGCGGAATTCTGGCTACGCCGCTGGATCCGACCACTTTGGGTGGGTTCTTCTGGGGTTATTTAAGCTGCCGGACATGTTTCCGGGCGACAGAAAGTTGCAGAGTTTGAACTGTCATTCGACCTTGAGTGAGGTCGGTTTAATTGCTTGTGCTGCAAAAATTCTGAGAAATGCCACAAAATGACTCTTTGATGGCCTTAGAATTGTTCAGCATTATTGTCATGTCTTGGCGAAGTGGCAACCCTGTTTGACAATTTTCAGCTCCTTCATGTCACGTGCTCTCCATTCTGCATGCTTATCAGACCTGGAATGCTAGGTCTCGGCCGAGGACGAAGCTCAATGTATCCACAAAGGCCTATGATGATGTGAATAAATGCATGCCCCTTCCATTTCTCCCTCATGTCCAATGCTTGTTCCACCCGTGCTTGTATATTTTCCCCCACCTTTCCTTTCCTTATGCCTCATTTCGTTATCATCTGTAGTACCACTGTCTCTGCCACATCTGTCCCATTTCTGTTTCATTATCAAGTTCTCTTCCAAAAATGGTTATCCTTCTATTTACATGGCTCGAAGCTCATATCAAGGCAATAAGTTCAAGTAGGTTTAGTTGTCCATGAGAAAATACTCCCTTTCACAGGTTATGTCTAATTGCCTATATCATAGTAACTGCTGCTGAAGCACTGTAGAATAATATGTAAAAAAATAGGGCATAGGTTGAACACAAATGATATACACCCTCCTGGAAAGGAGGTCCAACTTTACATATGTAGGCCCTGGCCTCCCTGTAATTTGTAGGAAATATTAGGCCCACCATTTGTGATGTTCAGAACTTATTTCTTAATCAAATGGAACAAAAGACCATCATATGCCTTGCATTGGCATATGGTGGTCTATGAAGTCGTGTGTGCTCTGCTTAATAAAAATACTTTCAATTTGTAGCTTCCTCATGTTCACAGGTACAGGTCAAATTAAGCCTTAATATTGAAAAGTGAAATCAGCCCTTTTCAATTATGATTATACTTTGTTCCATGTTGTTTTTAGAGAAGACTGAGTTCATGGGCAGCTTACTTCCTCTAATACTCATCAATGAGATAAAAAAAAATCAACCAATGAATATGTCAATTGGTTTGAATATGGTTTCAGCATTTAAACAGTTGTGATTATTTGTACTTCCTTGTCTCCATACAAAAATGTAATTTCTCAGACAGTATTTGCTCATCATCTATGTAGATATCATTATTTTGCTATGAGATGGATCAGTTTGAGGAGTTTCAGCACATCAGCCAAGCAAGGTTCATATTTAGGGACAGCAGTCAAATTAGCAGAAGAGAAGGTATCAGACATCCAAGGTCTTCCAATCATTCATCACCCAGGATATGTTTGTGACCTCCCACCTAAGCATAGGTTCCCAATGCCCAAGTTTCATGGTGTCCTGAATCATCTCATTAAGGACGGGGTTGTGCAGCCAAGTAAACAAGTAAGAAAATGAAGGTTCCTTGCCTTCTTGACAGATGACTTGAAATAATATGTGCTCCTTTGTGCAAATTTTAAATCCAACATCACACTAAATTCAAGTAAATTTCCATGTTCATTTATTTAGGTGAGGAAACCAAAGAGAGTAGAACCTTCACATGCTTCAATAGTTCATACAAAAGAATATGTGGACAAGTTTTTCAATGGGAGAACAAGTGAAGCTGAACAAAGGAAGACCGGATTTAAATGGTCCCCTGGGCTTGTCAGCAGGGTCAGATATGAGACAGGTCAGCAGCTCATATGCTTCTTGCATGAGGAATCCCAGTTTCTTGGAGATTCCTAGAGTTCAGCTCTATCCTCAGTGTTGCATGGCTGTGGGAATATTTGCATTTGGTACTCCAGGATAGGCCTAATGTTGGGCTTATTCTGAGGGATTTTGGACTTCATTAGGTGGAAAAGGCTTTTCCCAACCCCCTAATGACTGGTGCAGTTGCAAGAATGCAACTATCACTTATACAGGTACAAATTGACAGTCCATAAAACTTTGGTCATTGGTTGTTGGAAAGAGACATGAGAAAAAATTAAAATTAGTCTGCTATTTTTGAACCTGATATTCTTTCTTGTGTCACCATCTTTTAAACATGAATTTAAAAAATGTAATCAACTTTATTGTTTATCTACATGAATTTGAAATACTGTGAAGTGTACAAGACAAATGTGCACAAAGTTTCTGTGGACCTGCTTCACAAAAGGGTGATTGTACATCTCTCATGTAGATTTCATATTTGAATTAGAATGCTTCCATACTTATTACTTTGACATTCTTGCTGAAGCCCATGGGCTTCTGCAAGAATTTTCGAACACAAAATAAGGTTAAAATATATATATATATATATATATTTTAACCCTCTTTTGTGTTTGTAAATTTCTGATACTTATTTCTTCATTTCTTGCATTTAAAGAGCATCAGAGGGGTAACCTAAACAAGATATCAATGCCAATACATATAGAGCCATCTTTATGTTCACCTGGAAGCACTGAGTTTTTCTTTCCTCAAATATGTCATAGGAGGCACAATGTTGGCAGCAGTGCTTTGTTTGGAGCATGGTTTGGCTTGTAGCACTGCTGGGGGAACACACCATGCATTCCCAGATTATGGCTCCGGCTACTGCCTTCTCAATGACTTGGCTGTGGCTGCAACTTTCCTCATCAATCAAGGCTTGGTCTCCAGGATCCTCATTGTTGACCTTGATGTTCATCAGGTGAGCAGGGATGGCTTGAACTAGACTGAAGACAGTTCAGAATTGAAAGCAAAGGAATTAGATCCTATGCTATAATTGATGTGTGTCATTAACTCTAGGGAGATGGAACAGCTGCAATGTTTGAAGGAAACTCAAGTGTATTCACCTTCTCTATGCATTGTGGTGACAATTTTCCCTTGAAGAAAGAAAGAAGTGACCTGGATTTGAGTCTGCCCAAAGGCACTGGGGATGATGAGTATCTCCAAGCTCTTAAGGTTTGTAATTTTTTACCTTGAAAGTAGAGTATAGTTCTTTCCTCTCCATCTAAGAACATGCTAAAGACAAACGATATTACTTAACATTCCCAGATGAAATCAAACTTTGCAATGTAGTTCATATATATTTATTTCTTCCTTATCCTGAGAAACTGGTCACCACAGGGAATGAACATATATGCATGCTGGCAAAGGTCAACAACAAAGTAGATCTCTCTGGTAACTGATTCAGTTTGGGAAAGAGAAACCTGGGAGCAAAAGATATTGAAATACATGTGGTGCCAAAGGCCAGATGGATTTCAACATTTATTTATTTGAAAGAAAATGGTGGCAAATCCAGATCCAGGAATTTTATTTAGGGAGGACTTGATGCTTTGGATTTGTGACCGAAAATATTGCCAAATGTCAATGTTTGTGATACCAGTCATTTAGTATGGGAGGGTTGCTTAAGCCCAATTGCTGCCTCCCCCACCCCCTTGGATCTAATACTCCCAAAAGGAAACATTGAAGCAGAACTATATTCTGTTATTTTTTCCTGATTTCTTAATTTTCATTTTACCAACTTTTTTGTGACTTTTGAACTTACTCATGATTCATTCTTAAACCTTTAGGTGTGGACATTGTGCCCCACACATTGGAGTAGATGGTAACTTTGGGAGGTTTTCTTATATGTAGTTTGGCAATCACAGCAAATTAGATATCATGTAACAGCCAAGAAACCAACAATTGCTTTGACCAATGATCATTTGCTGCGTTCAACAGTAAGTTGCTGCCAGAGGCACCACACCTCCAAGAAAATACTCAAGTTGTGACATGGTACATTGATGACAACATGACAAGTTCCATGTTCTTGCTGATAGATAAGGATTTAATGGAAAATTCAGTATTTCCTTACCAAAAAAAAATCGTTTGCAGTCCATCTGGCTTTTTTTTGTCCACTCTGTGTGAAAGGACCTCATTGAAATAGGTGATTCTCTTTACCCTAAGGCAAAAGCACTGGGAAAGACTCAAAGATATAAGACAATATCCTGGCAGATTTATCATGTCTCCTAGTAGCCTAACCACACCACACTCATTTGGCCTTTGAGATTTCCTCACTATTTTGGTCTGTCATTTAGCATTTAATTTTAAAATGGAATGTACAAAGTAGCTTACTGTATCACAGCTTACTATATCACTGGATGCAACATGATTCAATATCAATTTCTCCCATTCATCATACTCAAGCCTGTTGCATGAGGTTTCCAAAGATCATGAAAATCATCAAAGTCCTCCCTAGCTCAAAAAAACTAAAGTTTGGGGCTTCTTATAATGTAGAGTTGTATGTGTTGGCAAAAGGAGTTATTTTGCTTTATGAAAACAAGAATGAAGGGTTTAATTTCAAAGCTGCCCCAGGCATAACAGAATTTCTTAATTCTTTGCTCAGTTGCCATATCTTCAGTTCCTGACATGAATTGCCATTCCCCCAGCTCCTCTTTCCATCATCTGGAGGAGCTTATGTTCAATAACCATGGTACAAAATGTTGGTCAGATGGCAGGTGCCTAATAATCTAGTCGTTACCAGTGGCGCAGCATCCATTATTTTACTGGGAGGGAGCTTCGGACTGAGCCAGTCATGTGACCACAGATATTGAACTGGATCTGATCTGGATGACTGGGTCACTAGAATGAGCGTGAGCAGCATAACGCCCGAACTGGAATTATGTTGACATTCCTAGACAGGAACTGATTAGTACCTATTGGATAGGACAGATGTCGCATGCTTCCCGAAGATGATATCTATCCCCCCCCCCCTCCCCCCCTCTCCGAAACTTACAACTTGATAATGCACTTGGGAGTAGAATTAATATTAATTTCAAAAAAGGAGGAAGAGCTGTATACTACTATTCTTTTTATCATAAGTGGCGCTTTGTGTATCACGCTCGGGGAATGTTGTGAAGTGGACGACAGCGAGATTTTGCAACCCTGGGCTAAATAAAGGTAATTCAAGCATACGGGCATAAGTCGATTCGACAAACGCGTTCAGTTTTGATCAAGGTAACATTACGTTGCAATATGATGAAACTTAACTTTTTGAACTTCAGGCCATTTTTTTTAACCCAGTGGTCCTGGGCGTTCACATATCTCAATGTAGAGATCGCACACAACGCAAGGAGTTGCCAAAGTCGATTGTTTCCTTGGAGCGAAATTATTCAACCTGGATATCTTCCTCTCAGGCACTCAAAAGGTGTCGCATTTATTTGAGCGATCGGTAAGTGTAGGTGCACCCCGGGACAAAATAACAAATCGGCATAGTTCTGGAAGGGTTGCCTATAAGTCAGGCATTCTCTTGGGAAAATGTGGCATCACTAGCGACTACAAGCTGCAGCGCTTGCCCGTTAGATCCATGCGGAACTCCACGACCAGATATTCTTAGGACCACGATGTCGTGTTTGCCTGAGGTAGGCCTGTATCCGGAGGAAATGGACGCATAATGTATGACCGAGATGCCATGAGAGGAAGACATTAGGCCGAAAAAAAGTAAAACAGAAGGGAAAAAAAGATTGACCCCGACGTGATTCGAACACGCAACCTTCTGATCTGGAGTCAGACGCGCTACCGTTGCGCCACGGAGTCTCGGACGATAGGGTGAAGTGCTCGATGCGCTATACAATTCTGCCAGGGAATGGACAGGGCATGCGCCTCCCTTTCTCGAGAGATTCATGAGTGGCTCCTAGCACTGCTGTTGCACACGATGTTTCCATGTTTCTCGCACGGACCTGCAAAGACCCGATCTGTTTGCGAGAATAATGGATCGATTTCTCTAGATGATTTTGATAGCACGTTGCGCTTTATACGCTTCATTTATAGACCTACACTTCACCTCTACCACCTTTAGTAACTGTATTCTCTCCTGCAGTATGCGAACAGTTTTGCAGGTACCTGGCTTTGAATTGAACTTATATGTACTCGTTGGCATCAATGTTTAGATTGTGCCAAACGTTGGATAGGTCAAGTACACATATGTAGTTCTTTGACGAGCATTAGTTGACTGTAGACCTACCTTTAGCCTGCTCCGTACGTTTGGCCTAAGTTCGATTAGTTTTTCAGGAAAATTCGACACACCTACCACGAGGCTAGGCCATTGACCTTGTTCATGGGCGCTATCGACCTAGCCAGATGGGATGATTTCGAGCGGAATAGAAAAACCCTTAAAGTGAAGCAATACATTTGAGCCCAGATATAGTGAGGCCTAAGTTCTTTAGGTTAGATATCACATGATGCTCTATGCCTATTTGGAATCATGGGAGGTATATTGGAAAATTAACTTCCCCTCTGCCAGAACTATGAACCTTTTAATTATAGTTTAATTTTCATATTCATTTAGTACAGTGATGAGCAACCTTTTTTTACTGCTGGCCACAAGCGAACCTTTTAAGTTCCTGGCGGGCTGCATGTTTTTTTGTATTGTTTTTTTTTAATACTGAATTATAGGCTTCATGCCTGCTGAGTATAAAAATAATCCTAAGCCTGGCTTAGTAAATGAGGTACTTAAATAGTAGATACTAATGGTATGCAAAGAACTAATTTAGAATTTATTCTCACCTTTTTACTGAGCAAAATATCAAGCAAGCCACTTACTCAGTGAGTAGTGATCAAGAAGAAAGTAACGAGATATTTGTAGCTGTGGCGGAAATATCACCTTTATGTATTATATCTTGCTTCCATTTCTCCTGCAGTGGGCAACAGAATCATTTAGAGCACATGCGCTCTGCTCTGGATGGCAGAGGCCAGGAAAAAAAAAATTCAGTTGGCAAAGCACCGTGGGCCATGACTGAATTAGTAGTTTAAGAAATGCAGCTGACATCGCATAAGTGCTTATGCTATAGCTTCACTTTCTGGTCATAAAATTCTCCATTATTTACACTTTTGTACTTGTGTTCAATTTTTAGAATATATGTGATGTATGACCCTTAAAAAAAATAGAAATAAATGGTTTCTGTTGACATCAATAATAATGGAATTCTCCAACAGATAGTTCATTGACATATACCTCTTCTGTATAGGAGGGTAACACCTCCTGACATTGAAACTGTTTGGGATCTCTTTGTTTTAGGACCACTTACCTTGGATCATTGCAACCTTTAAGCCCGATATGACATTCTTTGATGCTGGTGTGGATCCTCACAAAGAGGATGAGCTGGGGAAGCTCTGCCTCACTGATCAAGGTATGTCCAGGTTTGTTTTTTTTTTCATTTATAAGGCCAACAATGAAGATGTATTTCCCAAGTATTAATGGGACACATATTAACTGATCCATGAGCAAATTATATTGGTTCATGGTACCCTAATTGAATCTGGTAAATAAAGCAGTTCTTGTTTCATCAGTAAATGAAATGGCATTACAAGTGCTTAAGGTTTGTGATGTTTCACTTATTCTAGGCCAGTTGATGATCATCTGTTAGCTTTATGGGCTCCACACTGGTATTTGCATTATTCATGAAATCCATTCTCACCTAGTACCCTTTTTCTAATGCATTTAAATGTTTTCCCTGTTATGCTGACAGCATAGACCAAGGCCAGCTGCTATTCATGATTTTCACATTTCCTAAACTTCTTTTCTGCAACTAAACTCTAGTGAATTTGAAGAAGTAAGGTGAGGTGTGATCTGCATATGTAAGTTGGAGGCTTCTTTGTTTTAACCATAGAAAAGTTTTCATATGAAATGAGGTTGATGAAATTTGTAAATGACAAGTTCATCTCTATTATTCCGTGATCTACAAATTAATAGATACATTCAGTGTTTCTGTAAATGAAAAACATGCCAGGTGCATATGGGACAGTCGTCTAAAAGTTTATCCATTATGTTGAATGTTTTTGTGTTTGATTTCACTTAGGTCTTTATGCAAGGGACAAGTACGTTCTGGAGACAATGAGGAAGAATGCGATCCCCTGTGCTTGTGTGATAGGTGGTGGATATGACAAGGACCTTGATAACTTAGCCAAGAGGCATACCATTGTCCATAGAGCTGCATCTTGTGTCTTCCAAGACATTACTTGAGCATCTTCTGTGTGCCTAGGCAGGCTTGGGTGTCATCAAAGTGGTCATCTCTAACTTTGGGAGATGGAGATTAGCTGAGAATGGAAAGAATGGTAATGGGAAAATGACCTGGAAGAAATAACTAACAAATTGCTATGAGGACTATGGTAGTCCTCCACTTAGCTAGGACTCCATTGATTGCACTTGGCACATATTTAAATCTTGCCTTCTAGTAGGTCAGCTGGGGTGGGATTGGGAACAATTGTCCACAATGTCCATTGAAGGGTTTAGTTTAACCCATGATATCTTGTCAGTGAACCTGTAGAAGATGTCCCCATGTCAGGTTTGCAGCAATCTTCATCTAGTGATGAAAAATTGAAGACTTTATTGACACTGGGAAAGGAAGCAAGTACTCATAGGTATAGCCAAGGTTTATCTGAGGCTTGCTAAGACAAAAGATCAAGATATTTTTTGCTGCATTTGGAAATAATCATGTGCATGAAGTCTTGATATAAGTGCTAGGATGGTGAATTTATGAGAACTTGGCAATAATAATAATAATTAGAGAATAAATTGTGAACTTTTTTTTTAAGTGGAAAACGTTGAGTTCTTGGGTCTTATCAAAGATTTAAAAATTTAATTTTGATTTGATTTGAAGGTTCTCTCAGTATACAAGTGCTAGCTTAACTCATCATCTTTTGGAGGATTCAGGTTAGGTGATTCCAAGTGAGGGTTCTCTCAATGCACATGATGAAATTTACCAAATGGTTTGCAAAAAATGATGAACCCTAAAGTGATCTCGTGAAGATTGTCTGCACCTATGTTGTTCATGCTGTTGATGCAATATTTTTTTGTGAACCAATCCACATGTTCTTGGAATAAATTAATTAGCCACCTCCTATAGCTGGAGTATTGTTTCACTTCAACAGAGGCACTGGAAGTGTAAAGGGTCAAAGGCATGCAAGGAGGGGTTTGGTTGGCTTCCATTTCCCTCTCTTCAATAAATGTTACTAACAGGTAATCCCTATTCCATCTTAATGCTTCAGTGATGAGCCATGAGCCTTCATAAATATTCAATAAGATTTGTTTTGGCAAGCTTTATGTAGAGGTGTATGTATGTAACTGTACTGGGGGCCTAGAGAAAGGGAAAAAAACCCATGGAATTCTAACTACTACTGGCACTGTTCCAAAAATCTTAGAAGTTGGACTTTCTCATGTTTCTCATGGGAATGAATGGCTTTGCTGAGTGATGAAGCCGGGACAAAGGGGGGCTACAATGTACATTTTGCATTTTAGGAAGCTCTATAGGTGTAAAATTTAAGGGAGTAATTGGAATTGGGATTGGGACAGAAATAAGATCACAGATGAAAGTGGGCAGGGCTTAAGATTATCTTCTGTCCATGCACCTACAATTTCCTGCTTTCTAACATCATCACTTCCCAGATTTTTGTGGTCAACATTCAAAATGAGAACTATGTGACAGACTTTCACCCCTTGACCTACAATTTGTTCAAAAACAAGGAATGGTGGTTCCAGCAGAATTCAGCACCTGCCCACGAGGCCCATGTGACTCGAAACTGGTGCCAGGACAACTTGCTGGGCTTTATATCCACTACTGAACAACCTGCCTCCTAGTCTGATTTCAATCTGCTGGGCTACTATGATTAGTCCTAGTTGGAGCAGATGGCCTGAACTAAGAATCATCCTAATGTGGAGCTTCAAAGCACTCCCTTATGAAGGCTTTGAGCAATCTTCTAATGAAAATGGTTTGTGCTGGTGAGGAAGATTATCAGCCTGTGTGAAGGTCAAAGCAGGTTGTATTGAAGTTAAGTGAATCCTAGGGGAAGTTGATGAAGTCATAATTTATACATTTGAAATTATATGCCTGTGTCTCAAAAGTGACATTCATGAACCAAAAGTCTTTGTATGAGATATTATTGGTTCACCCTATACATAAAAATATATAGACCCTATATTTCCTGGAATTTTTGAACCACCTTTCATAGATTATGGAACATTATCACTATCCATTTTAGTCCCCCACATGTATAATTTGTACCCATTATGAACCTTAAAAATATGCAAGCGCATCACTCCTTCAGGGTGATGGCATGCATTTCCTTTCTATTTCCTTACTAAAAACAGTAATCCTCCCCTCTGATGCACTCCAGGTGAGACCATTTCTGTCGTTTACTTCAAGATAACTCTATCTTGACAGTCAGGATTTGTAGATTGCAGGCTTGCTCATTCCTATGGCATAGAAATGCCATATCTTCAGCATTAAAGCTGAGCAGATGAACATATATTAAGTGCAAGTAACTTGATGAGATTTAACATCTGAGAACAAGACAAACATACTGGTGAGCTATTAAGCAGTGAAAAAAATATTTTATTCATTCCCAAACCAGAACCTTCTTGTTTCTCTCCTTCCAACAACAATATCAATATGGAAAAGGAACCTAATGGATTCCAGGGTCTCCAGTTCCTCTCTCAAACCCTCATTCTGTCCATTTATGGGAGTTTCATCAGACCTGGGAAAAAGAAATTTTCATTCTCTATAATGCCTTTATATGATAGTCTTATTACATGAACCTTCAGTCATCAGATGCAAAATACTTAAGACTCACATGGCAGAGTAAGGGTTATTTGCATATTCATTCCAGTCACTGGGTTGGGCTCCAGATAGGATCTCCTGCTGGACCCGTGCAAGAGGTTCATCGTTCGGGATATCACATATGAGTTCTTCTTCCTCATCTAAATCAGACCCAAGAATTGGATGAAACATGCAAGCCTCAGATCCTCGATGTCACCAGTGAGACTCACCAGGAGCTTCATCAGGTGGGAAGGGAGGGGCAGATGGCTCTAGGTCCTCCAGTTCCTCATTCTGTGTTCCTGTCACTCTGCTTTTGATGTCACTTTCATCTGCCTTTTGGAAGAGTGCCCTCCATTTCCATGGTCTCTCCCACCAATTGCCCCTTTTTCCTAAATGAATGAGAGGACAATTTGAGAACCTTATTAGTTTCTCCACACGAAGACCTATGCCTCTTCTACATGACTTTCATCTGCCTCCTTTGTGTGGGTCATTAGTCCAGGTTGTTTAACCCTAATCCGGGCAAGGTGAGTCCGCTGGACTCACTA